TGGGCCTGGGGGGCCCCGTGGGCTCTGGCCTCCAGCCCTTCCCATGGATCCACATCCGGGACTTGGCCGGTGTCGTGTGCCACGCCCTGGAGACAGAGGGTGTGCGTGGGGTTCTCAACGGGGTCTCCCCGGCCTCGTCTGGCACCTCCAACGCCGACTTCGCCCGGGAGCTGGGCTCGGCCCTGGGGCGCCCGGCCCTGCTGCCCCTGCCCAGCTGGGCAGTGCGGGGTGTCTTTGGGGCTGAGCGGGCCGTCATGCTGCTGGAGGGCCAGCGAGTGGCGCCGAAACGCACCCTAGAGAGTGGCTACTGCTTCGTGTACCCCGACCTGCCCTCTGCCCTGCAGGACATCGTATCCTGAGCGGCTGAGGGGGGGCTGATCCCAGTGCCCCAGGGATGCCCCTGTTCTGGGGGGATCAGCCCCTAGAGACCCCTTATCTCTGGCTCCCACAGCCCAGCTCTGAGCCTCCTGGCTGTCTTAGCCTGAACTTTGTGGGGTCCCTCATGAGCCCTCCCCAGTGTCCGCCCCCAATACTCCCCAGCCTCTTGCTGGGACTCACCCTGTTCTTAGCCTCCCCAGCCCCCTTTTCTGAGTGGGAATGCTCCCTTTTGAGCCCCTCCAGAAATCCTCCCTCCCAGTCCTTCTCGGGGGGAGGGTGCCCTACTGTGACCCCTCCTGCCCCACCGCCATCCGTGCTGCGCTGACAGTGCATTCAGGCTGTTTCCAAGCTCCTGGCACTTTATGGAGCTGGGGTTCTGCAGCAAAGGCTGCTGGGAATTGTAGTTTTTGGTACCCAACCCTGTATACAGCCTTGTCCAGTTTGCAATAAACGGCTGGTGGGTCAATCGCTGCTGTTTGGGGAAGGGGGTGGGGGGTTGCTTGGTCAATGGTGGTGCTAGGGCTGAGGGGGGATTCAGAGGCTGGACTGTCCTCATACAGTCAGTGCTGTCCCCAGTGCCTGCAGCTCCCAATACGGTGGAAGAGACCAGGCAGGGAATGGGAGCCAGGTGTCCAGGAGGATAGTGCAGGGTGCTCATCCTTAGGGAGGGTCTGACAGGTCATAGGGCAGGGAGGGGGAAGGAGAGCGAGGAGTCTGGGATGGCTGTGCAGGTCCCAGCACAAAGATGGGAATGGGATCCAGGCGTCCGGGAGGGCAGTGCAGGGCCTTCACTGCTAGGGGGTCCCACAGTTCTTAGGGGAGGAATGGGAAAGGTGCCTGGGAACAAACATCGTGCTCATGTACAAGCTGAGAGGGCTGAGTCAAGTGGAGACTAGGGCTGGCTGGGCTCTGGAGACCAGACAGGAGCTGCCTGGCCTGGGATGTGGGTCTGGGTCCCCTAGCATGGGGTAGTATAGGTTATTCCTGTGTGGGCATAACTGCCTCCATGCACACGGTTGTACTGGTATAACTGTAGAGGTAAAATTGCATCTCTGATCCTAATAGTTATACTGCTACCGACTCTGGCTGTAGTCCTGGCCTTCATTTCATACCTCAGAAAACAATGGAGAAGGAGTCCCAGAACACTGCCTGTGTAAAATACAAGTGTTGATCTGTTGCTTTGGAAGACCTTGGCTGACACCTCTTTGAACTGTCCCCTGGGGTCTCACCGTTCCTTGTGTGTTTCACTTTGCTTTTCCTGATGGAAATTTCTGCTGGCATCATTCTTTTGTGGAAATTTTATATTCCACAAATCCCCATTTTCCATCAGGAAACCCTGGTTCAAATTTTTGCCTCACTGTCCTAATGCAATAATAAGCCATGGGGGTAAATAATTAAAGACTTAGTTACTGCAGACAGGCTGTGTTCTCCTCTGGATTTCTGTGCAGACATTCCCCCTGACAAATGAGTGCTCCACTGTGTATCAAGGGGACTGTGTATATTTAGTCCTGAGTTTATCCCCCAGCCCCTGGGCTGTAATTAGACATAGTCTGTCTCTTTTTGACTTTAGAAGAGCGCCAAAGCTCAAGCCCTTGCCATTTGTTTCCACTAGGGGTATTTTCTGGGATGCACTCTAATTTATTTCCAAAGATGATACAGAAGTCCTGTTTCCCTGAACACAGCTGCAGACAGTGCTTCCGTTTCCTGGTCAAAGCCAGCCTTTCCAGCTGGCACTTCTGTTACTGTCTGCTTGGCCTTCTCTCCTCCCCTTCTCCCTCGTGCACAGATAAAACCTATGTCACCAAGCAAAGCCCTTAGCGATCATGGCCTGGGAAATCCATTGAGCTGCTTCTGCTCTAGCTTTTCCATGTGGCTGTGTTTTGAATGCTACTGCTGTTGTTTCAGCCACCCAGCTGCAATGGCTTCTTTACATTGATCCTGCATGAAGGGGACCAGTACCGCCCCACGCATTACTACAAGGTTTAATAACAGGACGATTGAGGTGCTAGAGGAGCACTCAAGGAAGACAAGGCTGTTGCAGAGAAACTAAATGAATTTTTTGCATCAGTCTTTACTGTAGAGGATGTGAGGGAGATTCCCACACCTGAGCCATTCTTTTTAAGTGACAAATCTGGGGAACTGTCCCAGATTGAGATGTCATTAGAGGAGGTTTTGAAACAAATGGATAAACTAAACAGTAATAAGTCACCGGACCAGAAGGGATTCAGATATGAAATCTTAGAACTACTAACTGGTATGTAACGAATCGCTTAAATCAGCCAGACCTGATGACTGGAGGATAGCTAATGTAACACTGATTTTTTTTAAAAGTCTCCAGAGGCGATCCTGGCAGTTACAGGCCAGTAAGGCTGACTTCAGTACCAGACAAATTGGTTGCAACTATAGTAAAACACAGAATTATCACAAACAGATTAACATGATTTGTTGGGGAAGAATCAACAATGGTTTTTGTAAAGGGAAATCATGCCTCACCAATCTACTAGAATTCTTTGGAGGGGGTCAACAAGCATGTGGACAAGGGGGATCCAATGAATATAGTGTACTTGGAATTTCAGAAAGCCTTTGACAAGGTCCCTCACCAAAGGCTCTTAAGCAAAGTAAGTAGTCATGGGATAAGAGGGAAGATCCTCTCAGGGATCAGTAACTGGTTAAAAGATAGGAAACAAAGGGTAGGACTAAATGGTCAGTTCTCAGAATGGAGAGTGTTAAATAGTGGTGTCCCCCAGGGGTCTGTATCGGGACTAATCCTAGTCAACATTCATAAATGATCTGGGAAAGGATAAACAGTGAGGTGGCAAAGTGTTAAGATGATACAAACTTATAAGGTAGTTGAGTCCAAAGCAGACTGTGAAGAATTACAAAGGGATCTCACAAAATTGGGTGACTGGGCAGGAAAATGGCAGATGAAATTCATTGTTGATAAATTTCAGGGTAGCAGCCGTGTTAGTCTGTATCCTCAAAAAGAACAGGAGTACTTGTGGCACCTTAGAGACTAACAAATTTATTAGAGCATAAGCTTTCGTGGGCTACAACCCACTTCTTCGGATG